CGACAATTATGATGATTGCATTGTGATTTTAAAGATCTATTTTATAATGATAGTGTTTTTGTTTTTAATTGAAAATTCTACAAAAACATTGATGTACAGCATTTGGTACTTTATCGAATTAACATTTACACTAAACAAATCAATCAACCAACCAATCAATCAACCAATCAGCCAACCAGCCAACCAACCAACCAATCAACCAATCAACCAATCAACCAACCAACCAACCAACCAACCGACCAATCCCTACCGTCTCCAGGAGCGTTGACAACTTCCACCTCGTCAATTATGTAAATAGCGCCGAGATCAAACTGAAACCAGGCGACACTACTCTCAGAATCGATCGAGACGAAAGCGAAACTAGACTCATCGTTATCATAGGCCAGGGAGGTCACGTGATCCGGATCAGCTGTGCTATCTGGGGAATTCCGGCTTCCTATTATTGGGATCAAATCTGGTGGGAAAAATATTTGCTTTGTAACTTTCAAAAACTTTGAAATTAAAAAAAAACCAACGACAGTTAGAAATTTCAGCAAAATTAACAACCAAAACAGCAACAATCATAATAATAATTATTCAATTGACTCTCCATATTTCATTATTCATAATAAATTATTTCTAATTATTATAAAAATAATTTTAAAAAAGTTAATTTAAATAGCTAAAAAACCTGAGTTGACAATTGTTGAAGATGAAATTACTAGCCACAGGCATCTGATTATTGAGGTAGATTGTAGTTTCGATTTCATATCTTGTCGAGTTAATCTGCTTTCTATACGCTGAATTTATAATATTATTGTAATTTATAATGACTGCTGTTGCAGTCGCTGCTGCTGTCGCTGCTGCAGTCGCTACTACTGCTACTACTTTTGTTTTGAGATTGTGGGGATTTTGTTGAGGCTATAACATTAATCCTGTTGTTAACACTACTGATGGGGCTGAAATGAGTTTTAATGTGAAGCCTGTAAAACATTGGTAGTAGTAGTGATAGAAGTCGTAGCAGCGGTAGTATTAGTAGAAAGAGTAGTAGTGGTAGCAGTAGTAGTAGTAGTAGTAGTAGTAGTAGTAGTAGTAGTAGTAATAGAAAAAGTGGTAGTAGTAGTACTAGTAGTAGTAGTTGTAAGTGATGTTGTTGTAGTTGTAGTAGCAGTAAGTAATGTTGTTGTTTTTAATGTTGTTGCAGGTGTTTACAACGTTTTTGTTGTTGCGGCTGTCATCTTCGTTCAATATCCTCGATATAATGAAATATAATTTTTAATGTAATTTATGTTGATGTCATCTACCTGCAATGTCATAATGATGATGATGTTATAATGACGTCACAATGTTGATGTTATAATGATGTTAATGTTATCATTGCCAGTTCTGAAGTTGTTGTTGCTATAGATGAGTCTTCGATTTGAAGTCGTAGTATATTCTGTTGTTATCTGTTTGTTTGTATGTTTATATTTTGTATGTTTGTTTATATGTTTGTTGTTTTATGTTTGATCGTTTGTATGTGTGTTCGATTCGTTTGTTGTTTGCTGCTGTTGTTGCTTCGACGAAATTCACACAACATCACTATGCTTCCTATGGCAGGGCGAGTTTTTCAAAAATTTTACATGTATCTCAATACGTTTATATGTAAATATGTTTTATCTATATATATTTATATATGAATGTATGTACACACACACACACAAACACCACACACACACACACACACACACACACACACACACACACACACACACACACATATATATATATATATATATATATATAACAATGAGTTTTATGGCTTATTGAACACGAAACTTTGGTAGAAATATTTTATATCGACATTCTCATTCCAATAGAACGCGCGCACATACACATACAATCACAAAGACACACACACATAAACATACATACATGCATACACACATACATTGAATTTCACATACATACGTACATACATTCATTAATACATACGTACATACATGCATACAAACATACAACCATGTATTAGCAGGTATTATTTAACAAAGACTTACAAATGGATTAATGTAATTGTAAAGCATTGTAATGTTATGTTATGGTTCCAACACAGCACGGTAGAAAGATGAGACAAATTTCAGTTGCGTGTAAGTAAATAAATAAGTATGCTTGTTTGTATGTATGCATGTATGTTTGTGTGTGTGTATGTATGTTTGTATGTATGTATGTTTGCATGTTTGTATGTATGTTTGTTTGTATGTTTGCATGTATGTTTTTATGTATATGCGTGCATGTATGTTTATGTGTTTGTATGTATGTTTGTATAATAACTTGAAATGAACATACAACTTATGATAATGACCTATTTTAAATTTATTATTTAATAAAATGACGATTAATATATATATATATATATATATATATATACTACAATATATATTATTATACTATAATATAATATGAAAATAATTATTAATATACGTAATATAAAAAAATAATAATTTAAATAAAGGAATAATTATTATGATAAATATATATGTATACAAAACTTCGACCAAATAACTTACCCGTGCATAAAGACGATATTGAGCAATGGTTTTGACATCCGTCATATATTTTTGCGAGTATTTGTTTGTGTGTTTGTATACGTGTAGGTGTGTGTGTGTGTGTATGTGTGTGTTTGTGTAGACGTGTGTGTGTTTGTGTGTAATGTTATAACAGTGCTAATTAGACTCGTTAAAATTATAATGGTAATTATATGCTCTGGTCAGCTCTTCCTGTGATATAGCGATCGTATATCGTCAGACTAAATCAGAAAATTTTGTAATTAATTATAATAATAAATAAAATAATAATAAAAATATCAATAATATGAATAATAATAATACGAATTATGATAATAATGATAATAATAATAACGTTTATAATAAGTTAGTCTGTCTGACATGTATTTGAAATATCTAAGAAGATAGTCAATAATCTCACTATTTTACTGCAATGAAGAATCGCTTTCTTCCTCTCACACTCTCTCCCTCTCTCTTTCTCTCTTTTTCTCTTTTTCTCTCTCTCTTCTTTTTCTTTGTCTTTCTCTTTTTCCCTCTTTTTCTCTATCTCTCATTCAATCGTTCTAATTTTACTCTTGCTTTTTCTTTTCTACAACTTCTTCTCCTTCTCTCTTTCTATCTATATTTTGTGTCCTTCTGTCTGTTTCTCTCTCTCTTTTTCTTTCTCTCTTTCTCTCTCTCTCTCTCTCTTCGTTCTTTCACATGTCGCCATCACTTCTTCCATTCTATCACAGTCTAGTACTTTAGTACGGAATTAATGTGCTATAAATAATTTGTAACAATTTGAAAAAGAGAGATTGAGAGAAAGAGAGAGAGAGAGAAAAAGAGAGGAAAAGAAAAAAAAGAGAAAAAAAAGAGAAATAGAGAGAGAGAGAGAGAGAGAGAGAGAGTACACACACGTAAGATGACACATATAATTATATATAGTGTTAGCTATATTATCATTGCTATCATAATCCCTTACCAAACGATAAATGTTAATAATAATAATAATATAATTAAAGCAGGTTATTATTATTATCATTATTATTATTATTGTTATTATTTGTACCATGTGAAACCGTATCAGTCGCAGCATTCCAATCTTTGGCCACAGAGATCCGTTATATTATATTATATTATAAATAATTAAGAATAAAATAATAAATAAATAAAAACAATAATAGCAGAACAAAAATAGCAACAACAATAATAACTATAATTTATATTATTATTATTATTATTATTATAACCAGAAATTTAGTCAGCTAAATTTTGAATAACTGCACGCATACATTCATAACTAGACATTTAATTATTATTATTATTAAGTTATGAATGTAATGGTATGCAAGTTGTGGCTTGTTGTAATAATAATAATAATAATAATAATAATAATAATAATAATAACAACTACAAATAATAATAATAATGATAATCAACGAAGACCCAGCTAATCTATTGTTTGACCATTGTCATACTTCTCTGATCAGAGCTATTACTGCTGCTATGGCTTTTCACGTGTTATGCACAATTATGACCTATCTGTCAATCATTAGTTCATTTATTCGTTCATTCGTTCATTTCTTCATTCGTTCATTCGTTTATTTCTTTGTTCATTCATTCATTTATTCGTTCGCTCGCTCGTTTTTTCGTTCATTCCATCATTCATTCATCTTTTGTTTCATTAAGTCATTAATTCACATATTTATTCATGCGCAATAAGGCCACGGTAATAAAATAATACAAATAATTGATAAATAATTAATCAATAATTGATTAATAATTTGATAATAATAATAAATAAATAATAATGATAATAATAAAAATAATAAAAAAAATAATTAATAATAATAATTTGCATCATTCATAAGTGCAATTTGTTGTATGTGTTATTGTTTGGTTGAGATTGAACTTGCTTTTGAACCTGGCAGCTTCTACTCAACTGTTTGTTAGTTTGGAGTAACATGAAAATACTCCACTTTTTAAAGAGTTAAAGAGGATCTGTGTGGGGGTTAAATACAATCTGCAATCTCTCAAAAAAATTTATTGTTTTACATACACAAATCATGTATCTTAATTGTTTGATAGTTTACATTATTCATTGTGTGGTTCAATAAATTAAACTTCATAGACATGCTAGTCTATGGTAAGTAACCTTGAAAACAAGATGAAGATGATGAAGACGATGATGATGATGATGATGATGATGACGTGATGGGAAAAAGGATAAGGATGCTAATGATAATGATGGTGGTGATGATAATATTAATAATGATCGCTTATGTTGTTGTTGTTGTTGACGATGTGACGATGATGATGACGATGACGATGATGATGACGATGATGATGATAATGATGAAGATGGTGATGATGAAGAAAAAGAAGAAGATGATGATAATGATGTTAAAATAGAGTATGATAACAATGAAGGTGATGATGCCGCATCAAATAACTCGAAATAATACATGAAATATTTTACTAATAAATATAAATTTGAATAAAAATGTGTGAATGGTTCATCACCTAGCGCCTAACTTTTATAGTTTAATTTCAGTAACTTTTTGTAGGGTTTTTCATTTTGGAACCTTTTGTCAAACTTGATAAGGATCAGCTAAACCTTACCTGTATTTTTTTGAAAAACAACATGGACGCTTTTAGTGTCCGTCGTAAACATTTGGAAAAATGTTTGATATAAAATCGACATCGTAATTATTTTTGCCTAAATATTATTTTTAATTATATAGAATTTATTTTTTTTAATTTTTAAAATTTAAAAATATAGTTTTAAAAAATGCTTAAACGAATTTTGGAACTGATGTACATCGAGCCGGAGTTGCTGGCCGAACTGGACGAGGAACAGAAGCAGTTACTCTTCTACAAAATGAGGGAGGTATGCGTTTGGCTTAATTTTACTCATGCGCAAAAGTTCAGTCATTAAAAAAATTTTAATGCAATTTATTTTCATTTTTTTCCGAATCAGGAACAAATCAGGAGATGGAAAGAAAGAGAAAGAGAGATTGGGGACAAGGCAATAAAAATTCCATTCAACTTTACGCGGAAATCTAGAAAGCCTAAAGGTTGTTTTTAATTTAAAGTATTAAATTTTCACTGTCAATCTGCCATTCTCATTTCATAAACAACAACAATATTAATTATCACTTTATCACTTCAATACTAATTCTGATTAGAAACATTTGTTAATTAAAAGTAAGTTATAATCACAAATAAATATAATTTCTCTGTTGATATAATTATATTTGTCAACCTTCAAGGCAATTTAAAAGTAAAGTTTTACATGGATTCTCGCACTGACAAACCAATAGTGGCTTATATTGGGGAAGAAAATGACCTAGAAAGCTCAAAAAGCAGATCAAGTTCTCTGAAATCTGAAAAAAGCAACATTGACAGTGTCAACAGTTTTAGGTCATTCTCTTTGAAGTCCACTTCAATAGCCCCTGCAGTATCTCCATCTGTTACCACTACTGCAAGCTCAGTTGCCAGTGCCAATGATACTATATCTTCTAGCAGGAAGCCTTCCATCATGCCAAAAAATATCACCACTACAAAAGTACGTAATTTAATTGTATGTTCATAATTCCTGAATTCACTATAATTTTCCTATAGTTAATCTTTGAGGAGATTTCAAATTTCAAAAATTTAATTGTTTTTTAAAAAAATTTGTAGACCAACAATTCAGTGACTTACATGACAAAAGGTGGGAATGTCATATCGATACCATCGGGCAAATCTCCGCAACCAACCATGACAACAACGATTCTTGATAACGTCAATACTGCTGATTCCAACAAACTGCCAACGAACACCGTCCCCGTTGAAAACAAAACAAATGATCAGGATGAGGAAGAGATAAAAAGTATAGAATCCAACTGGAAGCTACAAGGTCATTCGTCATCTCTTGCATGTCTTGCTTAGTCTTTTCTATACTAGTTTTTTATTACTCTCTCTTTAAACTATCCTTTTTAAATAGCTTTACAGTTGATTATGTAGTATATTTATTAATTTTAAATAATTTTTGAATTTTTTTTTTTCAGAGGAGCAGATAAAAAAATTTGATGAAGAGAAGAAACTTTTACTGGAGAAAGTTCGACAGCTGGGTAGGAGCGAAAGCGAAGTTGTTGAGTCTTGCTCTTGCTCTACGCCTGCCACATCATCAACATCATTGGTGGATGGATTGGTAAAAGCACCACTCAGTGCTCCAATAGCTAACAGGTACATCTGGTACACATACACACGCACACACACACACACACACACACATACAAATACACACATTCTTAAACATGTATACATATACATACGCACATGCATACATAACGCATACCACACAGCCATTTCAGACATTTAATTTTTAAAAATTTTGATCAATAATTCAATAAAAGTCGTTCCAAAATTGTACAAAATTATTTGATTCTTGCTTGTTATTTTTCAAATTTTTATCAATGTTTTATAGAAATTATTATTGTTGTTGGTTGTTTAGCTATTGGAAGAGAAACACCCTGACAAAGCCAGACAGTAGGTCTGCCGTTGTTGAATGGTTTCAAAAGATTGAGGCACCAAGAGGTGCTGGAATGATGCCTAACACCAATCAAATTGCTGAATGGTTCCACGGTTGGAGCCTTTTTTAATCTATTCATTTTTCATAATTACTTCTTCTTAATTCACCTTTTATAATTCACCATTCATAATTCACCCTCCCTCACCATTCATAATTCACCACTCATGGTTAATGTAAATATTTATTTGGTGCTTGGGTGAATGTTTAATTGTGGTGTTTGTTCTATTGCATAATGTTATATCATTAATATTTCTGCTTGAAGTATCAGTACTTATTACTTAATGATAATTCATTCATGTTCATTTTGAAATACCTATAATGCTGACCAATAAAAATCAAGGAATGATAACGAGGGAGGAGTCAGAAGGGCTGCTATCCAATCAGAAACCAGGATCATTCTTGATAAGAGTGAGTGACAAGATATGGGGCTATACGGTTTCTTACAAATGCCAAGAGAAGTGCAAACATTTTCTACTTGACGCCTCCCCACTGAGTTCGCAGCCAACTTCACTCTCATCCCCTTACAGATTCTTCGGTGCCAACTCGAAGCTACATGATACACTCTATGACTTTGTACAGTATCACAAGGTTTTTTTTCTCCTATCGCTCCATCAATGTTTTTTTTCATTTTTTTAAATTGATTTATAATAAAATTATCCATTACATTTAATTCATTGTGAATTTACATATTCATTTTTTAGAGATGATTTTGAAAAAATTCATTTGCAACTCAAAAAAATATTTCAGACTGAGCCTATTTCAATGAAAGGTAACGAATTCCTAATTAATGCCTGCGGCCAGGCGGACCCTAGCAAACCGGACTACAAGGATCTTTTCCAAGTTCAATGACGTCACCGTCATCTCATTCTTCCTGTTCCTGTTGTTGTTGCTGTTTCAGGATCTTTGTTTATCATCGTCTACATGTTTTAGTTACCAACCTTTACTTATCTGTAGTTTGATTATTTTTCGTGTTTATGTGCATAAATAAATAAATAAATATATACATATATATCTTTTTTGGTCCTTGGATATATACATATACGTTACAAGATCCTTACTTTTACTTTTTATAACCATTTTGATTATTTAAAATTTTTGAAGTTATTTACCTTAATATCTTAGCTATGCTCAATGTTTAAAAATGATTTTCGTTAAAATGTTGGTGTTAATTTGTGTGTGGTGTGTGTGAGAGAGAATAAGTGTGTGTGTGTGTGTCCGTGTGTGTGTGTGTGTGTGTGTGTGTGGTGTGTGTATTGTTAATATTAATATTGTTTATAGTAAAAATTTAAATGTTTGTCGGTGCTATACTGTTGTTATTTTGGTTCATTTCATTTATCATTATTTGACTTATTAGTTCATTTATCTGTTTTGTTTGTCCAGTTTTATTTAAATTTAGTATTTCATTGAGTTGTTATTTGTTTAATAATTTCTTCATTCATTTTCGTCTTTCTAGCTGTTTGGATGTATGTTCGTTTGGTTGGTATGTTTGTTTGGTTGTATGTGTTTTCTCTCTTTCTCTCTCTCTCTCTCTCTGTGTGTGTGTGTGTGTGTGTGTGTGTGTGTAAGTAATTTTGTGTGTGTATGTTTGTACGTGTGTATCAGTAATATTTGTATGTTCAGTGATACGACATTATTTTTGACATAACATTGTTATTTCATGTCATTTATTTGAGTTATACACGTGGATTAATCTGCTTATCTTATCGATTTGATATTCAAATATATATATATATATATTTATTTATTTATATATGTATCTGTTTGTTTGTATGTGTGTGCGTGTGTGTGCGCGTCGGCTTATTATTTTATTTTTCGTGGTAGTTATGAATCATTATTTTCCCTACTGTCGTCACCTTCGTTATCGCTACTATGATTATTATTGTGATTATTATTGCTGTTATTATTATTTTTAGTAGTAATAGTAGCGATTAGTATTTTTAATAGTATTTACTGTCACATCCACCCATCATACGTTCATTTATTTACCTCTATTTAACTTTATTTCTAATTAACAATTAGATTTATTAGTAGGTAATATGATTTTTGATTAAGTATACAATTAAATAAATAATTGATTTATTAATTGGTTGATTTTACTTTTTAAGTTAAACCATCTTCCAGGTTATGAAAACTTGAAATCTGAAAACTTTGAAATGGCACGCTTACACAAAGAAATTTTTGAATTTGAAGAAAAATGGCTTTTTGTCACTGGATTTGTCAGACTCGTTGCGTTTTAGTTATAATCACACACTCAACTTAGTAATTTCCAAGTGCTTTCTTTCTCTTTTTACCTATCTCTTGCTTTCTCTCTTTCTATTCTCATGTTTATCTCTTTTTTATGGTAATTATTCTAATTGTACGTCCATTGTTGCCTAATACAAATCAACCAAAACGTATTTACCAAAAACAGACATGCGAATGACGATTTATGCGAATTGAAATGAAAAACAACAATTGCTCATTTTCCGTCTGCCGTAATATAACATGAAAAGCTGTATTTTATTGATTGGACATTTATTAATAAAAATGTGACACAAGCATTCTTTTCTTTTTCAAATAAAACCAGCTCTATCGACTACTCGATGTATGCACATGTATCCGCCTGAGCAACTGTTTAAACGCACTATGTAAATGCTCTTCTCAAAAATACGAATGTAACAAATGCAGGTGCCTTTTTTTAATAAAGTTTACAAATGTAATCGTCACAATCAATTAAATTAAAATCAGTTAAACAACGTTAATTAAAGTTACACAAATGTTAACAACGTAGGCATAAGCATAATTTATGTCAATTTATGTTAAATATTCACGAATATGCATAAGTATATTTTTTCATTTTACAAAAACCGAGTAGTATCATTAGAGTCTTCAATATTATTTATAATTCTTTGTCATTTCACTGAAAGCCAGCTAAAATTAGATCGACATAAGTTGGGACTTTCCGACAACCAGCCAAGCTAAAAATAGCCGTTTCATTTTCACTATCATCTGGGTAAGTTTGAATGACATTAAACAGGGTTTCAATCAAATCTCTGTCGTCGTAATTTAGGGTGATATTTTTCTGTGCCAGCAAGTGCTTTGTACACATTCCAACGTGTGATTTTTCCAGCGGTAGAAAAGGCACGATGTGGTCGACCGCATTTTCATGGAAAGCCTGATAAAACCACGAATATTTCAATTGGTTTTTGATAGCCTGGTCTTCCATGATCATATCTAGTGCTATTTCCGCTCTTTGTTTTCTTTCATGTTTGATTAATTTGTAGGTTAATTCGTCTATGGTTGAACCAGCTTCGTTACTTGTGAATATGAAGATATATCTATATCCATCATCAATATTGACATTTTTACTCTTATCATCAGCATCATCGTTATCGACACTGTTATCATTATTATCATTATTCAGTAATTTGATGGTGTTGAGAATTTGCATGGTGATTTTCTTGTAGCCATCATCATCACCAATGACGTCATCCAGGCCTTCTACTAAAAAGATCATCACCATCACTTCGTTGTCATCACTATTATCATAATCGTCACTGCCTCTGGAGCGATGATGATGATGATCTCGTTTGAAGTTGTTCACAATGCTGTATATTCTTTTCTTAAAATTATCGTCGTCGTCGTCGTTATCTTCATTATTTTTATTATCGTTATTGTTGTTGTTGACGTCATCATTATTATCAATGTCATAATTATAATAATAATCATCTTTAATATTATTATTTACGAATAAGTTCGAGAAATGCAATGGAATGATGACGAGATGTTTGGCTTGCACATTACTGAACCCATCCATAATTAGTGATCCAGCATAACTTTTTCCCACACCAGAAGATCCTAAAAACATTAAAGATAACGTTTTTTTTTTCTTTGAATTTGCGCCTATTTCATTAGTTATGAAGGCGCTTAGGGATGAGATGATGACATCTGTAGCGATGTGCTGGCCATACAGCTTCACCCTCAAATTATCTTCAATCAATGGCAAGTTTACTTTTAAAAAATTCCCTTTGTTTGATTTTAAACCAGTTTTTTGGCTAAAATCAGATGTATCATCGATGAATATAAAAACTAAGACTCCTAATAACATTAACATCATCAAGATAGGCGCACTCTTTGCAATGTAACTTTTCAGCCAGCATGGATTGCTCACAAAGTACATACTGAAATCCTCATTCACTACAGGTCTGCCAGCTACAGGACGATTATTAATTTTACCTAAATGTCTCATCTTTACATTATTAGCCTCATTTCCATCACTGTTTAAGCTAATTTCATCACTTTGCACATCCCTGTTTTTTATACTTTCACCGATTGTTTTCATGCTGTTGCTAATGGGGGGGCCCAATAAATTTTTAGGCACTTCAGTTAAAACCTGTAGCTGTTGATTACTATTTTTAAAGACATTGATATCCTCAGTTTGTATTTTGCTGTCAATAACAACAACACTACAATCAGTGCTGTCACTGGTTGAGTGAATTGTTGTAGACTCTGTAACAGCAGTGTTGGCATTGTTAACAGATGGGCCATCTGTGTTAAACATTGTTTTAGAAATGGTAGGAGAAAAAATAGAAAATGAATTTCTAGCATTAAGTGAAGGTGGTGATGATTTGAAATGTGAATTTGATGTTCTGGATTTGTTGTTTAAAAATTTGAAACTGTGTGCATTATTTGGAAAGAGGTCTTGCTCATTGGCGTTCATGTCTGAGTTCATGAGTGTAGACTGTTGTGGGCTACTATATGCTGATGTCAAATCATTTAAAAAATTATTAGTGAACAGGGACGTGTTGTTAGTTTTGGAAGACCATCTTGAATTTTCATTCTCACCCAAATTAAGATTGCTAAGCTTCTGTGAATCGTTCAAACTTAACCTGTTAAGATTCATCAAATGTCTCTGTTGCTGTTGAAAAGTGAGTTTGTTTGTTGGGGGGCTGTCGGCTATGCTCCAAGACGACATGTTGGAAAATAATGGTGATGATACAAGTGGATCCTGCTGCAGTTGATGTTGTTGGCTGAAAACATTCCAAGTCCCATTAGCTGTCATATTATTAATCCTGCCCTCTGATAAATGTCGCTGATGATTTTTAGTACTAGGCTTACTAAAAAATGGCGAATTGAAAACCTCTTCAAGGCCACCGACAAAATTATATTCGTACTGCGAGCCAGGAAGAGCGGTATGGTATTTTTGGTGGCGATAATTTGTTGAAAACGAAATGCTAGTCGACTCATCCTCCCAATCCATCCTCCTGATGCTCCTATTTTGAAGACTTGATTCATCATCGGAGTTAGGACTCCCCAGTACCATCATGGAGCTCTCATCATCAGAATTTGAAGACAGACGGGCATTGCTCACAGGTCTGTACCTCAAGAAGGAAGTGTCTCTATTTTGATGACCCAAGCCAGGCGTGTATTGGAACATTTTTTATTAATGTAAAATTTTGTTCACTGTCTGTTAGAATTTAATAATAATTAATATTATTATCTCAAAACAATCATTTTATTGTCAATAAATAAAAATATAGTGTCGAGGTGGTAGTTTGAAAATTTTTTTATTTAAAATTTGAGGCAAAACACATTTAAAAAACTTAAAAGTGAATTCAAGTATAAATTTTTTAATGCCATTGAAGTGTTAGGTAAGAATTCGATATATACACAGCTCACAATCATATATATAAATATATATATATATATATATATATATATATATATATATATGTATGTATAAAATACAGTTAGCAAATATATAAAAAAATCTAATAAAACTGGCAAAAGTTGGAGAAGTTTTACAAAATGAACAGTGAACGCCATCATTTTCAGTTGACGGTTCATTCCCCAAGGGATTTACTAAAATGCTGAATGTATAAATGTTAGTTCAATTATGAATGCATCAGTAGTTGTAGCAGTAGTGGTAATAGTAAGTAGCACCAGCAGTAGAAGTAGAAGCAGCAGCAGATGTAGTAGCAGTTGTTGTAAAAATAGCAGTAGTAGTAAAGCCATTATAATCTAGTATTTGCTTATTAAAGAGTGACAGCTCATTGGCTAGCGTGACAACTATGGATTTGCGAATTTCTTCTATGAGCAAAAAATTATGACAAATGTAAACATGTAGTAGTGTTTCGTGTGAATGAATGAGTGAATGAATGAATGAAAAAACGAACGAACGAACGAATGAATGAATTATTTATGTATGAATTCATATACGTACGTTTGATTGAATGAATGAGTGAATGAACGAACGAACGAATGAATGAATATATGAATTGTGGTTGAGATAGTTTTATAAATGGAAAAATAAATAAATGTATGAATTAACGATAGAATGAATGAAAAATTAGAAAAGAAAAAAATCATTCAAAAAAAGGCATTGAATGAATGAAAGAAAGAAAAAATATAGACAGAAGAATGAAACAGAATGTATGTCAAGTCACGTCACAACCCAAGTGGCTTGAGAATTTAAACCAAACAGTCTTCGCACGAACCAGAGGTTGCAACACACACACACACACACACACACTTGTAAACGCACGTACACACACAAACACGTAGCCTAACACACACACGCGCGCACACACACACACCACACACATACTTTTTGTGTAATTCAATGAAACTCTAGAATTTTATTGCTGAACGTATTATACTAGTTTCAACTTTATTGTAATTAACTTTTTAAATTATTAACGTAACAGAAACTTTCTTTTTGAATTTGACAAAGCTTGATCATTCCTCTAAACATATGAGGGTATGCGTGCGTGTGTGTGCGTGTGTATATGAGTGGAAGAGAAAGAGAAAGAAAGAAAGAAAGAAAGAAAGAAAGAGAAATAGAGAGAGAAAAAGAGAAAGAGAGAGAGGATGAAAGAATAATATTTTCCTATGAGAACCGGCAATATCTAAAGAACCCACAGTTTCAAACACAATTATACATACAACAATTTGATTATTATTTATTGACGACTGCTATGTATGTATTGATATGTCTAGCTATTTATCTTTTTTGGTCATCCTTCAAAAATTAATAAATAAAAAAATAATAAATAATTAGACGTATAAACTATTGAATTATTTTTATTATCATCGCTAATATTAGCAGTAGTAGTAGTAGCGGTAGCAGCAGCAGTAGTAGAAGTAGCAGCAGCAACAGTTGTGGTAGTGGTAGTAGAAGTAGTAATAGGTAGGACTGGCAGTTGTATTAATATTAGTAAAAGTTGTAATTCTAATTTTATTCTTACCTATATCCTTTTATTCATTGAGGGTTTTTTTTTATCTATTTGTTGTTTAATGTCTTGCAATATTAAAATTAATGTCATTATTATTATTATTATTATTATTATTATTATTATTATTATTATTTAGATTAATAAGATTTTATAATTATTTCATTATTGATATTTGGAATTTGGAGTTAGAAAATAAAAGGATTATTCACATTATTATTATTATTATTATATTATTATTATTGTTGTTGTTGTTATTATTATTATTATTATTATTATTAGTCCCTGGATAACGTGAAACTAGTTCGGAGGTTCGCACGAGCCACGCGTTAAGATAACAAATTATTATTATTATTATTACTATTTCAAATTATTATTGTTATTATTATCTGTAGAATTAGTAGTGGTACATACATACATACATGCAAACATACATACATATATTCATACATACATACATGCAAACATACATACATACATACATACATACATACATACATACATACATACATACATGCAAACATACATATATTCATACATACATACATACATACATACATGCAAACATACATACATACATACATATACATACTTTCATTGTTTTCACGGTTGAATGTTTTCTGGCGCGAAACTTTACTCCTATCTGCATGAATTTGCTCTTGCTTTCGTGTTGCTGTTGGTCTGTCGGTTGTAAAATTATCATCAACATCGTCGTCGTCATCGTCGTCTCTATTATTATTATTATTATTATTATTATTATTATTATCACCTTCATTATTTTTAATCATCATTATATCATCATTACGTCCCATTCAAATCATCGTCAACATTCTCGTATCTTTAGCAATAGAGTTATTAGCCCTATATAAAAAAATAAAAAACTGACTTTATTATAAATTGTCGTGTGTGAGATGAAGAAAATAAAATCACAGAAACGTACACACATACATACCTATTCAACACACATACCACACACCGCACCACACACACACAAAGAGAGAGAGAGAAAGAGAGAGAGAGAGAGACAAGCACATCCAAACAAATTTTAAATAAGGTATATATATATATATCTTATATGTTGAATGTACACTTGCAATCACATATATACAAACGCACATAAAAACACACATACTTACATACACACACAAACAAACACACATACCTACAAACACACATACACATATAGTTAATTATTTTTTGTGTGTTCAAAGCGCCATGGCTTTGGCACGCGCACCACAAAGCCAATATAACAATAGCTCTCCTGCTTACAAATTCATATATACAAACATACATACATACATACATACAAACATACATACATACATACATACATTCATACATACAAACATACACATATACATACATACAAACACGCGCATACATGCATGCATATTGCATATATACGAACACACATCCAAATATAGTATGTATTAATATATACACAAATGCTGAAGCTCATACATAGCTTTATAAGATATCGCGTGCTGTCACACAGACTGACACACACACACAAACACACACGATACACATACGTATAGCTATTATATATATATATATATATTTATATGTGTGTGCGTGCATATATATATATATATATATATATGTATGTGTGTCATTTTTCATATAAATATATCTTAGAGTGTATGTGTGTTGTTCCTAAATACTGCAAACCAAATCGAACAACTGCCTTGGCGATCCTGGTAATGATGACGAAGTAACGGTGATTATTATAGTTGTGGTTACTGTTCTGCAATGAATGAAAGTAATTTTAATTTAATGAGAAGTTAATTGATTAATTAATTGATTGACCAATTAACTCTTTTTTTTAACAGTTCAATTAAATCGACGTCAATCGTTGAATATATATAGGTAGCTGTCTTAATTTTACAAGGTGCTTGTTTGAGATTAACGAAATTAGTTGGATATCAGTTCATGTAGTGTCGAGATTAGTTAGATATTGATAAGATGACCAGTGCACAAGATGCTAGGAGAGACCTTGATGAGGCTATTAACACGAAAATTAAGGCATTTGTCGTCTACGAAAAACAACAACAACAACAGCAACAACAGCAAACCAATCAGCAAATTATAAATGATTTGCCGGCATTGAAATCTAACATTGTTAAACGATGTAAAGAGAAAGAAAACAACAACATCAATAACATCATCGTCAACAGCAACAATCACATCAACAACAATCACATCAACAACAATCACATCAATAACAACATTGTAGACAGTAACAACAATAATATCTTCCAACAAGCTCTCTCGCCAAACAACAACATCGTGACATCAACAACGACAAGCCCACTGCCGAAGCGAAAAAAACACAACAACAACATCAACAATAACAATAATAATTTGCCAAAACTTGAACAACCAACATCAAGAATGGATATGAAATTAACGGCCGACACAACAACAACAACAACAACAACAACAACAAACAGCAACACAACAACCACAACAACATCATCATCAAAGACATCAACAACAACATCAACAACAATAACCACAGCTAAGAAGAAAGGTGCCAAAGGTTCGCTTGGTGGCAGCGGGGCAAGGAGAAATGAAAGAGAGCGAAACAGGGTGAAACAAGTGAGGCCCTCTAATAATAATAACAATATAATTATTATTATTTCATAATTATTATTATAATTATTGTTTTTGTTGTTGTTATTATTATAAAACATAATGGTTTGTATGTGTGTTTGTGCGTGTGTGTGTGTGCGTGTATGCGTGTGCGTGTATGTGTGTGTGTGCGTGTGTGTGTAGTAATAGTAACAATATTGTCAGTACAACAAGCAATCGATATATTAAAATTTCAAATTTACTACGCTGTGGGACTATCATCATCGCCGACAACGTCATCATTATCATTACCGTTTCTTCTTCTTCATCATCAACACAATCATCATCATCAGTAGCATCACCACCATCTTCATCATCATCATTATTATTTTTTTATTATTATTATTACCACCATCATCATCATCAACAACAACTTCATCGTTAACCTTTAAAACATTCCCACCTTACAATTTCAATTCCATATCCTCCCTAGCCACAACCACCACCCTAATTATTAACATCGCCCAAAACACACTTCCCCATCACCATCACCATCACCCTCATTATCATAATCAATTCCTCAAGGTCAACCTGGGCTTCGACCGACTCAGGGAGCACGTGCCTCAAGGTCGTTCGAACAAGAAGCTAAGCAAGGTCGACACCCTGAAGGCTGCCGTGACCTACATACAACAACTCAGACAGGTACTGGGCATATCCGACGAATACCTCACAAAATTCGACAACAACAACAGCAACAGCAAAGATAACAATGGCGGGTTTTGGGCCGTTGATGATGATGACGACGACGATGATGAAAATGAGTGTGGTGACGACGACGATGACGACGATGGGCTGATAATTGAGTTGAGCGGGGACGATAGTGGGGATTGTATCGGCAAGAATGGCATTAAAAGTCTCAAAAAATGTATTAGGAAAAATATAAAGAACAGCTACAAATACAACAACAACAACATCAACAGTAACATCAACAGTAACATTAACAATAACATTAACAGCTACGGTAACATTAATGAAAGTAAAGAGGACATGTCTACCCATGTTATTAATAATGATATCGTTGAAAAGCTTTTTGGTACAATCGTAGCTTCAACAACCAACTACAACAACAGCAGCAGCAGTAACAACAGCATCAACAACAGCAACAACAACATCATCAGTGACAACAATATTGACGTTATAAGCGATGCCTTAAAAGAATACAACGACTTTAACAACAACAATAACCTTTTGCGAAATATCAACAACAATCTCGACAACATCAACATTATTTATGACAGCAGCAGCAACAACAACAACAACAGCAACATCAACATTATTTACGACAGCAGCAACATCAACATTATTCATGATAACAACAACAACATTATTCATAGCAACAACAACATTTCATTGATTCAAACAAATGATCGATTCGATATCTATGGCAAAGAGAATTTTTCAAGTTTAATACTGGATCATCAACCGCCATTAGAAAATTTATTTAATTGTAAAAATGAAATCATAAACAACATCAACAACATCAACAGCAACAACATCAACATCAACAGCAACAACATCAACAGCAACAACATCAACAACAACAACAATATTAACAACAACATTGACAACAACAACATCGGCAACAACATATTCATAAACGCTCAGGCACTGCTTCTAGCCGCGGACGACAACAACAACAACATCAACAACAACATCAGCAACAACAACATTGATATTGGCTTATTATTAACGCAGCAACAACAACAGCAACAACAATACGAACAACAACATCAACAGTTGTTAACGGCCCAACAACAAACCCAACTACTGCAACATGAATTACACGAACTAGTGTCATGCCTTTCGAGCATCGACAACCAACAACAACAACAACAACAACACATTTACCGTTACACTTACACACT